GGTGGGCGGGTGGGGGGGGGTTGGCTAACATACGGGTCAACAATGCCCTTCAAAAGCAGAATGGATAGTCAGGAAGTTTCTCTTGGGAGTGCAAAACCTAAACTAAACAAGGGGCCAGCACTGTGGTGTAATGGATAAAGCTGCTGTCTGCAGTGCTAACATCCCAAATGGGCGCCGATTCGTGTCCCGGCTGTTCCACTCCAATCCAGCTCTCTGCTAATGTGCCTGGAAAGGCAATGGAAAATGGTCCAAGTCCTTAGGCCCCTGCACCCAGAAGGGAGATCCTGCACCCATGTGGGAGACCCGGAAGAGGCTCCAGGTTCCTGGCTTCGGATCAGCCCAGCTCCAGCTGTTGCAGCCATCTGGGGAGTGAACCAGCAGATGGAAAACCTCTCTCTCTCTCTGCCTGCCTTTCTGTGACTCTGCCTGTCAAATAAATAAATAAATCTTTAAAAAAAAAATCGAAGCTAAATAAGACTGGATGAATAGCAAAGGGATAAGCTGTGCTTGCATACACATTGAAGGTTTTTAGAAACCTATAATACCCCTTTAAAGCCGAGAAAAATAGTAGTTCCAGGTAGTTCAGGAAGTACACAGGTTACTCTAGTCTCTGAATACTGCTGCTCCTGAGGCCTCTAGTGTGCTTTCACAGTCTTTACCACAGCATTAGCACCAAAAGAGAAAAAGTATAAAGTTGTTTTATGTATCTATGTCTCCAATTATCTGTTAAGATGATCTATGGAAAACACAAGTTGCAAGTTTGTATTCAGGGAACTATATATGTATTCATGACAATTCTATGCATTACACTGTTCTGTGGAAGAATGCTAAGAACACATGGCTTTTTTCCAAATAGAAACAAAATTCCAATGAAGAACAAGAACTGTTCTAATGAGAGCTTAGATGCCATCCTTTATGAACAACAAAGCATTATGAAATACAAGCATAAAATTGCCAGGGGCTCATGCAGCTACAAAAGTTTTACCAACTAAATTTCTTTTATAAGCAAGAGGAAGGTAAATAGTTTGTCTATTTTTTCCCACTTACCTATGATAAACATGTCAATAGCAGCTGGATTCCGAGCCATTTGGTCCTAGGTGAGAAAAAGAACATAATTGATAAAATACATTTTAATTAATTTTTCATTGTTCATTATCTTCATCTTTGCCTAGTGACAAAGCAAAGCAGATAAAAAGATCTTAAGTGTTCCAACAATACTCAGATACATTCCTCACACTTCCCAGTTTTTGCTCTAATGATTTCTATAAAAGAGGTTCTTTTATACCAACAGCTCTTTTCAACTCTATACAAAAGGTCCTGAAAAGAGTGCTAGGCACTTCTCAATAAATCCTACATTTATGTAGTGTTATTACTGTTACAATGAACTAAGGACATCATCCTTCAAGAAATCATTAGAAAACTGGAATAGGAATTTATATAACTTGTTAGCCTAGAAGAAAGGTTTCAGAAGCAAATGACCTGAGCAATTCCATGTTAGTCACTTCTCTCAGTAAATGGAGTGCCCAAGCCATCATCCTACCAATCTTCCAGGGATATCAAGTCAAAAATGAGATAACGCTTAAAAAAAGTTAAAGCTCTTTAAATCTTGTAAATGCTGTATGGAGTAAAATGTCATAGGTAACTAACTATGCAAAGCCTTTACTGCTTTATCTCTTTAATGTAAAAAGTTCACATTGAGGCAGAAACCAAGATGCTGTGCAGCTAAGAAATTGTTGTAAACAAAAAATAAAAATGAATGCACGGAGACCAGCACTGCTTCATGTCCTCTGCTCCCGATTCAGCCTCCTGCTAATGCACCTGGGAAGGCAGTGGAAAATGGCCTTGGGCCCTGCCACCCATGTGCAAGACCAAAATGGAGTCCCTGACTTCTATCTGTTGGAGCCATCTGAGGAGTTAACCAATGGACTAAAGATATTTCTCTGTCTCTCCCCTGCCCCACCCCCATGGCTCTGCCTTTCAAATAAACAAATCTTTAAAAACTAAAAATGAATCCAAATTCTACATTTTCAGTGGTTCCACTAAAATTATAACCAAAAATAATCTTAAAATTACATTTTTTGACAAGTCAAATACCTACTGAAAAGCATATAAAAAGTTTCTATTGGACTTAGAACTCGAATCAAAGAATGTTGAAAAATTAAATTTTTAGAAAGTTAGAGACACATATTACAATTAATTATCTCAACAAAAAACTCCTCGTTACTTTTGCTTAAACTTAAAACACTTTAACCCATATCTTTCTGTGGGTTGCCTTCTGTATACACAATAGTTTGCACTGTTCATCCAGTGGTAAGCTTTCTTTTGCCACTCCATGTCATTATGTTAGAATATTAGCTCTCTAGTTAAATAGATCTATAATTAAAATGCATAATATTCTATATCCATTCTTTGGCCTTGAAAATACCTACTGCACACATTTAAATGCACTTCCTACTTACCGGACATTGGTAGAAAACTTCATTTTTGTTTCGGCCCTCTGCAGCTTCCACTGCTATGTACTGACTCAAGCCAGTATGTATGCAAAAAGTTAAAGGAAGACAGTATTTAAGGCCCTGTCTCTGCTGGAACCCTCCAGCAGCTGTGTCAACGTCCAACAAATCTTCAGAGCGATAGTGGTTCGACAGTGCCATACTTCCCAACAACCTGAGGAGCACACAGACTCAAAAATGTAACAAACTGCAGAGTCAAGCAAACAGCTGCCCTTCATCTTTCTGACAAATAATAATTTCATGATGACAACTTCGTAAGTATTGATGAGCATGACAGTTCTAACCCAGGAAGCCCTCAAACAATACAATTTCTAGACATTAAATTTAAACTCTTTTGATTGAAGATTCTGAATTAAGGTAAAAATTAAATTTCTACAATATCTAAATGTCAACCTTTTAAAAATAAATCATTTTTATTGGTTTCAAGAACTATTTTGCCATGATTTATTGATTTGCCAGTGTTTTTGCTATATACATATATGTGGCTAATTTAATATTTAAAGGGTAAATTCTCTCTGAAAGCTTTATCTAAAAATGAGCCTTAGCTTACCCTATACACCCAGACAGCATAAATATGTGTCAGCCTAAAACTTGTCCAAATTTTCACAAGTGTGGAATGCATGGGGGTATATATTAATCTCACTACATATACATATATGATAGCAATGCAAGTACCAAAGACAACCTGGTGAGTCTTGTCAAGACTTCAATCTTAAGTCTCATTGCTTGGGCCATGATTGGATTAAAAAAAAAAAAACCTGTGTTGAAATTCATGAGCTGTACATCATACCAATTTTTTTTTTACTAAGTTCTCTCTTGCTTGTTCTTCAAATATGACCATTCTTCAATTTTGTCATGTTTCAGTTTGATAGGAAAAACCAGCCAACACTGAGGCTTATCTAGTCCTTCCTGAAGGGCCGTCTATTTCAGACCTCTGGCCACCATTTGATTTGTCAGTTCTACCTGTACTCTCACCATGACCACCTAGGGGCTCCTCATTACTCACTAATTCTGACCTGAAACAGTCAGGTCAGAGCCTCAATGATTCTTCACACACAAAGGAACACCTGGCTTCAATAAGAACAGCTGCCAATTCTCACTAGCATTTCACAAGCACAGCACTTCTGAAATAGCTTAATTCCACGAAAGTACAAAAGGAATAGATCCATTCAAAGCATCTAGCCTTTAAAACTGAGTGATTTTGACAGCTATGTCTGCTTTTTCCACGAAACTCCACAAGGCATAGTTCACCTTTTAAAAGTAAATTTTAACAGACCATTTAATTACAGGCTGCTCTTGAATATGACAAAATTCTATTTAGTTCAGTGTGTGTAGCTCTAAACAACTGCTTTTAAAGTGTATAGTAGATAGAATTTATCTGGACTTTAACAGTTGTTTTTGTGAGACATTTATATTGGTAAAATCTAAGTTAAGTAAGCTGTAGATTTTGGTCTATATGGATGGTCTTATGGATTGCTATGAAGAAGAGGGAATTTTTATACTCCTTTAATTTATTATGATACAAATAGGACATATTTAATTGCATTCTAGAAAATAACATCATTAAATATAACCAAAACATGGAACATCTTACCCAGGAACCACTAACTTCTGCCCATTGTGGATCCGATACGAACACCGATAATCATCAGGAAGCTTGCAACCGATCTGAGCTTCCACAGCGTCCAGGTCTTCCTCTCGGGCACCCTCTGCAGATGCATACAAAAAGCAAACTGTGAAGAAACACTAAGCCTTATGCTGAAGCAGAAACATACTCTACCCACTAAGCTCTGTAGCAATCTTACAGAATAAATGAACTCTGCCCAAAATGCATGGCTGAAACATAGGGAAATGAGTTGAAAGTTCATCTGAAGCCCTGAGCAAGTAAATTCCTTAGTTTCTGCACAGCACCAGTAAAACACGGGAAGGTGGGCACCAGTGAAGATTCCTAACAACACTGTACAACACAGGCCTCATGGTAAAGCCCATGTTTCTAAATCTACTGTTTTCATACTGTTCATTTAAAAACAAAACAAAACAACAAAAAGCAGAGGCTGGCATTGTGGTGCAGCAGGTTAAACCTGTGACACTGGCATCCTATATGAGCGCCAGTTTGAGTCCTGGCTGCTCTGCTTCAGATCCAGCTCCCTGCTAATGCGCCTGGGAATACAGCAGAAGATGGTTAAGTGCTTGGGCCCCTGCACCCATGTGGGAGACCCAGATGGAGTTCCAGGTTGCTGGCTTCAGCCTAGCCCAATCCTGGCCATTGCAGTCATCTGAGGAGTGAACCAGCGGATGAAAAATCTCTGGCTTTCAATAAATAAATAAATCTTAAAACAAAAACAGAAGCAAAAACAAAAAGTGCTCCAGAAGCTCTCTAAACCAACGCTGCTCAAGTTTCAACGCCATCTCTTCATGGGAAATACAGAGTATGAGGTACAGATTGACTCAAATTCTACTTTGCACTTCTGTAAATTTGCCATGTATGAGTATTCTAGCTTTAAAAAAAAAATAACAGGAAGTAGTTACAAATACCAAAAGCAAAAACAAAAAAAAAATCTACTTCCAGCATTAGCCCACCAGGTTGCCAGACCAAACCTCTCACTAAACAGTGACTATTTGGTTTGAAGGCTTTTGGAAAACCACCAAGGAAATGAGCAAAGCATTAGACAGAAGCACAGGCTGGAGGGTAAAACAAATTAAGTTCAGGGTTCACAAAGGAAAAAGGGACTTGGTAAAACCCGAGGATCATATCCTAGGAATACTAAAAATAGACTACTTCTCACAAAGACTAAAGCCCAGCTTCCAATTCCATCAATTCCTGAATGGAACAGGGCGATCCATCAGTAAAAATCAAAAGTCTCCAGAAGAAAACACTACTACCCCAGAATTCAAAAATTATGTCTAGCAATCAATAAAAAGAAAACTCAAAACCCTAAGCTTGTATAATGACAAGATCTGACTAAAGAGCAAGAGAAAAAAACCGAAAACAGAATCAAATCCATAATATATCCAGTTACGAACTTAGTAAACATAAACTTTATTTTTGTTTTTTTAAAGATTTATTGATTTGAAAATCACAGTTACTGAAAGGGGGAGAGATAGACAGAGATCTTTCCATTGGTTCTCTTCCCTGATGGCTGCAATGACCAGGGGTCGGCCAGGCTGAAGCCAGGAACCAGGAACTTCATCCAGTCTCCCACGTGGATGGCAGGGGCCCAAACACTTAAGCCATCTTCTGCTGTTTTCCCCAAACTATTAGCAAGGAGCTGGATCAGAAGTGCAACAGCCAGGACTCAAACCAGTGCCCCTATGAGATGCCAGTGTTGCAGGTAGCAGCTTTACCCACTACGCCATAACAACGACCTCTAGTAAACATAAACTTTAAAATGACCCAATGGATATAGTCAGCAAAATCAATGACAAGAGTGAGATTTTCAGCAATATAAGCTAGAAATCAAAAAAGAGGGGTCGGAATTAGGCCTAGTGGTTAAGACGTCCACGTCCCGTATCACAGTGCCTGGGTTCAATACTCGGCTCTGGCTCTTGACTCCAGCTTCTTGCTAATGAGACCTTGTGTGAGGCCGTAGTGACAGTTCCAGTGATTGGGTCCCTGACACTCACATGGAAGGTGTGCACTGCAGGGATCTGTGGAGTAAACCAGCAGATGGGAACTTACTGTGACTCTCAAAAAATAAAAAATAAAAATTTTTTTTAAAATTACAACTAATACAGTGCTGACTTTTAAAAAATAATAAAATTAATCAAATGGAAATCTTAAAGGTAAAAATATATAATAATTAAAAGTAAGAATTCACTGAAGAACAAACATTTGGCCTAGTGGTTTAAATGCCGGTTCACATTTCCACATCCCGTATCACAAGACTGTCTAGGTTATATATCTGGCTCCAGCTCCTGACTCCAGTTTCCTGCTATTGTGGATCCCGCTAGGTAGCTGGTGATGGGTCAAGTAACTGGGTTTCTGCTACTCATGTGGGAGATCTGCATTGAGTTCCCAGCTCTTGGCCTTGATTCCCCCACCACTGAGGGCATTGGTAGTAGACCAGTGAATAGGATCTCTCTCTCTGTGCCTCTCAAACAAATAAAATTTTAGAACATTAAAAAAAATAAAGAAATGCATTGAAAGCAAATGAGAGGTTTAGGTGAAGAAGGAGCCCTAAAAAAAACAACAAAAGGAGTGAAAAGCACATATGACAGAACATGGTGGAAAGGTCTAAGATACACGCATTGGAATCCCAAAAAGAGAAGCAAAACAGAATGGAGTAGAAGCAATATTTGAAGAGATAACATCAGAGACTTTTCCACACTGATGAAAACTTCAAATCATGATTCAAGAAGCACAATTAGAAAAACCACAATGAGAATAATTAAAAAGAAAATCTAGAAAACTGATAAAAATCAAAGACTAACAAAAATCTTAAAAGCAGCCAGAGCAGGAAAAAAATGTACATAATTATTTTCAAAGTAACAACACTAAGACTGACAGCTAAATTCCCAACAGAAACAATAGAAGTCAGAGGAGTGACAGCTTTAAAGTGGTGATTAGAATTCTGTATCCAACTAATACATCCCTCAAAAATGAAGATGAAATATGTATACTTTTTAGACAAAGTCTGAAAAAAAATCACTGAAATACTAAAAATAACTCTGTAAGTGGAAGAAAAATGATCCCCACTGGAAGTACGAAGATGCAGACATGAAGAGCGACCAGAAAAGATAAATATGAAAGTAAACCTAAAATAATAAAACATAGAAAATAATATTTCCAGGGATATTAAATATGTTGAAAATTCAAGCTGCAAAAGCTGTAGCACAAAAGGCAGGAGTGGTGCTTGGAGTTAAAGTATTCTAAGGTTTTTTTCATTTTCGTAGAAGTGGTAAAACACTAATTTACGTTAGATGTTAATAATTCAATGATGTACATTTAAATCTCTAGAATTATCACTATTAAAAGAAATATAAAAAAAGGGGGAAGGAATAAAACGTGATTAAGAAGAATACTAAAACATAATACATTAGTAAACACATTAAACAGTAAAATACTAACTAATCTAATTAAAAGACAAATGACAAGAGAAAAAATAAAACACAATTATATACAAAAGAAATACCTTAATGTAGACAAGGAAAAAAAGCTAAAGTAGCTCTACTAAATAGATTTTAAAACTAAGACAAATAGCTTCATGACAAAAAAGTTAAATGTATTGCACAGGTATTACAATCCCGAACTTAAGTACCCAGTAACACAGCTCCAAAATAAAATGCAAAACTTAAATAGAAAAAGATATCTACAATCACAGTGGGTATGCTGGTTTTCTATTGCTGTAATACCAGCAGCTTAAAATAATACTCATTTATCATCTCAGAGTTTCTGTCAGTACTTCTGCAGAAGCACAGATGTGACTCAATTGGATCCTCTGCTCAGGTCCCACAGGGCTGAAATCATGGCATCAACTAGGCCTGCCGTCTCACCTTACACATCTTATGCTTGGGATCCTCCTCCAAGCTCTCTGGTGGTTGGCAGAATGCAATTCTTTGTGGTGGTAGACTGAGGCCCTCAGCTCTTAGGGTCCACCTGCCACTCTTTACCACGCAGCCCTCTCCACAACATAATCTGCTTTCTCAGAATCAATAGCACAGACACTCACACTTTGAATTTGTCTGACTTCTGGAAGGCCTGGTCTCTTTTTAAAACTCCTTTGATTAATTCAGGCCTGCTCAGGATAATTTTCCTTTTGATTAACAAATCATAACCGACTATTTTTAGACCTTAATTACATCTACAAAATCCTTCCATCTTGCTCCATATAATATGACCTAATCATGGGGAATGAAATCACTTTTATTCACAATAGCACCTACAGTCAAAGAGAGACACTTATTTGACGTGTGTACAGGGAGTGTGCATTTTGGTGGCTATCTTAGAATGCTGTCTACCACAATGAAGGATTTTGCCATATCTCTCCCAGTAACTAATAAAATAAGAAGACAAAGAACAAAACAGTAAAGGTGTAGAAGATCTGAACAAGATTAACAAATTTTACCTAATCTTATATATATATATGTATATATATATTCCTAAACCCAAAAACTACAAGATATACATTCTTTACAAGTACCCATGAAACATTTACCAAAAAAGATCATATACACTAGGTCATAAAACAAATCACAACAAATTTTGAATAACTGAACTCACAGTAAAATTAAAATATAAATTATATAAAAGATTACTAAAAAAGCCCCAAATGTTTAGAAATTAATAATACATTTTTATATATTTAGAGAAATTAGAAAATACTTTGAGCTACATGGTAATGAAAATATAATGTATTTTGACTTGGAAACAAGCTAATATGTTTAGAGGTAAATTTATAGCCCTAAATGCATTTGAAGAAAATAAGAGACAGAACATTGTGATCTAAGCATCTCAAGTCAGAAAAAAAAATCACAGTAAACTCAAACAGAAGATATCAGAAACTAATGAAATAAAAAACAAACATACAATAGAGAGGATTGACTGAAAAAATTAATAAAATTGATTAGTCCCTAACCTAGTAAGACTGATCAAGAAAAACAGAGTACACATAATCAGTATCATAAATGGAAAAGGTGATTATAACTACATACCTAATAAGGATTAAAAAGAGGTATTATGAAAAACTTATCAATTTGAAAATGTGGATGA